ATAACATGAGCGTATCCACAAAAACACCATCAATAAAAGATTGTTGTTTCTTAAAGAAAAGACAAAAATCTCAAAAAGGAGAAAAAGTAAAGTAGCTTCTACCTTAAAATTCATTTTATTTTAGCTTCTATTCTAAAATAATATTAATCTCAGACAAATTCAAATTGAGCTATGATTTTTTTCTCCCAGGAATTAACTCTGTGAAGAATCAAATTTAACTATTATTTTCCTTTAACTGGAAACTTTGACACATTTTAACACTTTACATTTTTCATGCGTTCAAAAGTTAACCAATGATATACGATATCTTTTTTATCTATTATATATCATTCATAAATTTTCAAAAATTGTCGTTTTTTTCGGCATCCAAAAATTTAACAACAGTAATAGACAAGTAGTAGCATATAAAACCTTTTAAATGCTGGGCATTTTAGGCATACAAAAATTTAAGAATAATAACACCACAATGATAAAACTCGACAAACACGTATGATAATTGATCAGGATTTAATTTATTTTTAATTATTATTATTATTTTCTTAAATAAAAAATATAATGTTATCAGTCACTGATTCTTTTTATCAGGCTTCAAGAGGATTTTGTTTGGTTTTTCATTTTAAGTGTGTACTTTCATCTTATACAGTTATCCACGCTATTTGTAACATGGTAATTGTTTCGTAATAGTCAATTAATCATTACATGAAATAATTTACTTTGAAATCTATACTTAATCCTACTTAGTGTTTTTAGGTTATATTAGGAATATCACAAAAAAGAATGCTTCCAAAGTTAAGTCTTTCACACAGATGTGATTCAAAGTCAAACTGAAAACGTACAAGCATTCATTTTATTTAAAACAACTGTTGTAATTGCTTCATATATTTTCATAGCGCTATGTTTTATGTTCATTTTAAGTTTACAATGTACAATAATTAAATAAGTAATATTTTCATTATGTTTAATTTTAAATACATTATATATTATGAGCTTACTGTAAAATAGTTACATCCACGGGTTATCATGAAATTAATAGTCCGAATCAGAACTATCAACTGTTCCGGTAATTTAACGACCCAAATAATTGCGCTTATTGTTAGAACACTTCTCCTTCAATTTCAATATATTAATATAATACTCATGATTTTTATCTGAGAATGTTCTACAATATTTCTTCTTACAACTTTCACTAAGGTGACTACGATAAAATTAACATGTTACAAATTTGGGATATTTTTATCGATACATATATATCACTTTATATGATGATTTTAGAATTATTTGGTACCCTGTCTTCGGGTGTTTTGTATGTACTTGCTCTCCTTACCTTTATAACTTGTCTATCCATCTATAACTAGTATTTATTACATTAGTTTTTTTAGTCAATTATATTGAAAAAAATATAAGTGTGAAAAATACGGACGTAAAAGATATGCACAATATGTAGTTTTGATGGTGAAGACAGGCAAATTGATAACAGCTTCCATTGCTGGAAATGAAGACACCATGAAGTCAGCATCTGTTCCTTTGGACGGTAACAAAGAAATCAAAATGTAAGACTGGAAATACCTATTTCATTTGAAAAGGAAACGATGAAGAAACCTTTAGCAATAATGGAGGATTTAACTTTGTCAGAAAAATATGTACAAAGTAATCTGTCCAGTTCAAAAGCAGATTACATCAAAATTATTAAAATTGAAGCAGACGCTTGTCAGCATAAAGATTCATTTGGGGTCAAAGATGGACGTTCTATGACTGCATTTTGGTTCAAACAGAGTCTTCGGATTGGATTGGATATTTGTATTTTCGTCTTCATCAAGTATCACTTACGCCTTTTTTTCATCTATAATTTGGATTTAGTATCTCCATGCCATTTGAAGCCATTTAAAATTTCTTTGATTTTCATCATCTTGGTGGGACAAATTTAAAATTTTTGTCAAGCGCGGACCAGAAACATAATCTTGAAGAGACAGTAAATATTGTACATGAAAATCTGAAGGAATTACTCGGATTGTTGTCGGAATTAAATGAGAATAACAACATGGGTGAAGCAAAATGGAATCTTCATAACATCCTACAACACAGGGTTACAGGACGACTCATCACGCCAACACAACACCACCGAATCATCACCGACCATTTCATCTCTGTGACAACTCAATTCCAGGACAACTCAGCACCAGCCTACTCAGAGCGGTGACAAATCAATGACATGCAAATTATGAAATTTTTCCGTCGACTTTTTAAAAACAGATAAAAGTAATTTATTATGGATCATTTTTAATACATTAATTTTTTTCTAACTTAAAATGTTCAGTTGGAGATTGTATACAATTCTCCTTAAATATTTAGTTGGAGATTGTTATGAAAAAGAAAAAAACAATCTGCAAAATTCTTTGATCTGCCTTCATATACTTCTTCAATTTAGGGGGAGGGGAATGACCTCCAATTAATTGCTCGAAAAATGCATCTTGGTTTCTTTGCACCTTTTGCAGAATCCTCATATTGTGGGTTGTTCCATCCTTAGCTATGTGTACGGTGTTTCATTTGCTTCAGTATGATTATTTGTCCGATCTTGAAAATTAAACACCAGTTAGCCACTTGAAAAAGCTGCAAAGAAGCACTTAAATATTGGCAAGAATCAATGTGAAACATGAGCTTTGACCATTGAAAGAAGAAAAATCCTTCGTTAAGGAATTTATGATAAAAATGAAGCTGATGCTGGATTGACTGCTGAAACGGAAATTTGTCACCTCATGAAAAATGTTATTGAATACAGAAATGAAAGGCAGATTTTCTCACTTACAAGATTTAGATTTACGGTTTCGATATGCAAAATATTATTCCTGTATATTTCCAAGAAACATTTTCTGGCTTAAATAGCTATCCAGATAATATTGATAGACCAGAGAATTTACAAAGGAAATGAATACATACCGACTAAACAATTTAGGGACTTCGCAATATTGAAAGAGACTCATTTATTAATCTAAAATTTGATAATTTGATTGATGTGTTAGCAACAGCAAAATTACGAAATATTCATATTGTAAGAATCCGTCAGTCTAGAGAGACTGTGGTGCTTATTAAGATGTGTAATTTAAGACCTGTTGCAGACACTCCCACAAAGCACATTTGCATATTCACAATGTTTCGGCCGTTGTACGCACCGGAATTCTTCAGGTGACTGGAATATCGAACCGAAACTTTCTTTCGTCCACTGTGGTACATTGTTCTAGTTCCACGTGCCATGCCTCTTCCGGATGTCTCAGTTATTTCTCTTGAACTCAAACTCTCTGTTTTTTGGTTCATCACTGCTGTAGCCTGGTATTGAACTCACAACTAGTCACTGGCTCTAACTAACGCCTTTATCCACTGGGCCATGTGTCCTTGGAAAGCTAAAGGGAAATAACTGACATATTCGGAAGAGGCATAGTACGAGGGACTAGACCAATCTACCCCGGTGGATGAAATAAAGTGTTCGATTCGAAATTTCAATCACCTGAAGAAGGCCAGAACGTACAACGGCTGAAACGTTGTCAATATGGCAATGAAGATGAGGATAACAGTCCGATTAATGTAAATAATGTAAGTAATATAAAATGATACTTAAACAGTATTTTATCAATCAGTTTTATAATCCATGTACACAAGAAATAAATGGCTTCTAATATTAAATATGTTTCAAACTATTAAAACATATTTGTATACATAATGTATTCTTTATGCTTGCAACATTACTCTGTCATATGAATATCTTGAAAACTTATAAAATTCAGTAAGATTTACTGAAACGATTGGAAATGGGATACAAAATAACAGATTAAAAATTTAGGTGGAGCTATACAGAATTACCCCCCCCCTTTTGTTGTTGGCCACAACAAAATATCTCGCAAAATCTCTTATTTAGTTCTATGAGGATTACTGGAGGTGTCTGCTATGGAGGACAGAATAACAGATAGAAATTTTGGGTGGATCCACGAATTTCTATAATTACCTCCTCTACAAGTGGCAATGAGGTTTGCAAAATTATTGACAATTGTTGACAATGACAATGACATTGGTGCTCTCTGAGTGTTGACAATGACAATGACATTGGTGGGTTTTTTTTTGAGTGTTGACAATGACAATGACATTGGTACTCTCTGAACGCTTTTTAATTATTTCTTCTATTTTCATTAAGACGGTAATGAGTTACAAAACAATCAAAAAATTTCAGAGGTAGAGGCGCCAAAATTATATTTGACTCTGGGCGGTCCGAACTCTGGCTACACCAATGAATCGACATAAATACCCAGTTTTGAATAACGAAATTTGTGTTTTATTGTCATGCTTTAGCCAGACTATGATTGACCTAAGAAATACACACAATTTTGAATATAAATCAATGTAAGCATACACAGTCACAAAATGTACTTAGCAACAACTCAGTGTACGTTTCTTTCGGTTTTTTTATATCTTCATACTTGAGTTACGGAATATTTTGAAAGCTACATTCGCGCCAAAGTAAACCTACTTTCTCCTACTCTCTCTCTCTCTCTCTCTCTCTCTCTCTCGACACAAATTGACATTTGTATAGCAAATATGGACGTATTGAATTTTTTAAGTAATAAAAATTACTTCTGTTTTCAAGGTTTTGTGGTAATAGCAGGTTTTCTGCAATATATTACGTAGTTTAGCGTCGAAAAAATATCTTTTCATTCTTTTCTCTGTGAGAAGAGACTAAACTTGTTTTAACAATTTGCAGCATTCAGCAAATATCGAACTCGCTATCTGAAATTATCACATTTTCCACGACACTGAGTACGTACTTACCATATTTTATCTTTCACTCTCCTCTCTTCACTAAACTGTTACGGTTTCATTTTCTTTCTTTCTTTCTTTCTTTCTTTTTCTTTCTTTCTTTCTTTCTTTCTTTCTTCTTTCTTTCTCACAGACTTGCTCGCTCTTTAAGAACTTTACATCTATGTCTATGCATGCCTAATAATTTCAAATGTCATTGAACTGATTACAAAGCAAACTCGTTTTTCGCATGAATAAACCCCCAAATATGAAAGTATACGTTAATTTACAGCGCTCTCCACTGACCCTTAACCTTTTTAAGGAATTTTCAATGTCAGAATGATCCACTTTTTTACATTAGCAATTATGACAGAATACGCAAACAACAAAATATTTAAACTATTGTGTTTAAGAAAACTTTGTGTTTAAGAAAAAAACAAAATTATCCTAAATTCTTAAGACACTTCTACTAAAGAAGATTAGATTCAAGACCAAATGGGCGAATTTGAATTTGGAAGATTGTGTAAATAGTACCAGTTTGCCTTAAAAATCATCATTCAAACTTGGGTTTCAGGTGAGCCCAAATGTCAACCACCGATGCTGGTGTGGAAGACAACATCTAGGAGACAATCATTCAAAATACTGCGATAACACAATTATTGTATTGTTGCGTGTAGAAATTGGAAATAAGCTATAGAAAAAAAGAGAAAAATATTACATATTGAAAAAATACAATGTTTCATTTAAAATTAAGATAATCTATATTAAGATGAGTAATGGTATCCTTCGCTCTGAACAAAAAATATATTTCAACTTTGAAAACTGTTAAAAATGCACCAGATGAAATTATTTTAAAATATATCCCAACCTAAGACATTTTTTACCTTTATCAAACATATCACTTTTTGTCGAATAAAATCAGATCACTACGCGTGATAAAAAAATCATCATTTTAAAAAATAATTATTGGTGTAACGAAAAAGAAAATAAATCGTAATTGTTTCCGACTCAGTTAATAGAAAACTAATTTCATATTCATTCTGCTTTCCAGCCCATTCAAAATTAATCAATGAAAAAGCATTTTGCTACGAGGCAAGGATGGGAGCGTACATGATGATGATGATGAGGATGATGATTATGATAATGATGATGATGATGATGATACTAACTTACATCATGCTTCAAGAATCCATTTTACAATATTCTTTAGTGCTTTTCATGTGTGCTAAACAAAGTGGAAAAGAAATATTGGATACAGTGGTCTTCTGACCTTTGTCTATCAGGGAACACAGTGATAATACAAATAATACTGTAAAAAACTGTAAACTTTATACGTTAAAAATAAAAAAAAATCGACTTCTAAGTTAAAGTTACTGTAAGATCTTAATAATTGTTTTCAATCTTTATGTAGAGATGTGGTTTCTTCTTGAGTGATGTTTTTCTAAAGAAATATGTTTCTAATGATAAAAAAATAGCAGATAAAATTTGACTTTATGCGAAATAAACTCCTTTCTCTGACCGAAGTCAAATTTTAAGATAGATTTTTTTTGTCATTAAATTATACGGAATAAAGGCTCATGAAAGAAATGTTTAATTTCTAAAAACAATAAATGTCTTTAAAAAAAGGATGATTTTAGAAAACACGATATCATGTAGTTTAATTAAGCACCATTCTGTGTATGTTGAGAGAGATTTTTATACGTACATACATACGTATATAAGGCGAGCACCTGCTGTAGAAAGGTTAACATGCTTGTCATGTAGGTATTGCTACGGAATTCGTTCTTGCTGAGGAAGTCCATGAATGTTGTTTTGTGTCAAAGTTTACTTAGTCAAGTAAACATTTACTTCTAAATTAACCTCTTCTTCACCAACATTTAACCTCACACAAAATGATCGACTTACGGCAATGTCTACCCCAACTTTTTCTTTTCATCATTACTATCGTACTTGATATAATTACTTTTTGTGAATAACTTTTCAAACATACGTTTTGCGATAATTTTTATTGACGCATAACACAAGACTGATCTGGTGGAAATGGATAAATTCTGCTTAGAAATCAATTTATTGCCAGACTTTGTAGTTTTTCCCAGATCGACTTTCAAACACGTAAGGTGTAAGCAAAACAAATCGATAAAGATTCCAAAATCAGTTTACATTTATATATTGTAAACTTTCTACATCTGTAAGTAACAAGCAATAAAAGAACATCAATCTTAAGTTAAAAACTAAAACTTAAGAAAAAACTGAGTTTTGGAATGACTAAAAACTCTAAGATATCAAGAATATTTACAAATGATGATAATATACGGCAAACATAAAGTCGTAAAATCATTATACGTGAACATAAGGTGGTTGAAAAGTAATTGATGCAATTATAGGCATAGTAAATAACTCTTCGGGACCTAGATTGATTGGTCCTATATTCACAAACTGACTAAATTTACGGAATTCTTCATTTTCTCCTCTTCTTCTTTATAAACTTTTTTTTTTATTTATCTCCATCTCTTTTTAAACTTCTTTTATTATTCCTCTTTCTTTATAAAATAAAATTTGTTTGTATGAAATGATATGGACAATCGTGGCTTTCTACAACTTCCTGTCGCGCTCTGGAAGTTCATACTATTTTCATTTTTCCGCTTTTATTCTAATTATTCTCTGCTTCTTTCTATATCTGTAGGTGCACCATGCCTTCATGGCATTTCTCTGAACAATGCTGGATTACCCGGCGTTGTCCATTAATTAGCACACAACAGGGAAATCTTTCTTACACAATATCAACACCTATTGAGATAGGTACATTCATGCCTTTCACAAAGTTATCAATGAACACAAACTACATAATAACTCTGGTCACCCATTTTAATGCTGTTGATCTTTAAGGCCAACTCCTGATCTCCACTTCTCAACATCTTTTTGAGTAGTGTGTGTGTTTGTGACAATTTTTCGTGCATGTATTTAATCCAATTCCATAAAATGGTATTCTGCTTAAAATATACTTCTTCCTTTACGTAAAAAAGAATATCAAGTTGTAAATAATTCATTTTTCTTTTCTTTTCAAAGAAAATGTTTTCTTGGACTCTTCTTCAGTATAAACACCCACACTTATTTACGTATCAAAATAGGGTAATATGATATCTCTTTCTGTCTTTTCGCCATCTCTTCACCCCTCAATGTCTAGAAATTCCAATCTTATCATGACTTAGCGATATTTTCTAATAGCCTAAACAATCGTTCTTATAAATTTTAAAAATCCAATTCGGTCTTTTGACCAAAGATAACAGCCATTTTATTATTAAAACGGTAGAAAAGGTTTCCTAACAAGGCAAAAATTGGCCTTATTCCTTAAAGTGCCCCTTCATTGAAGGAAAAAAGAGTCTTGTAATAAATAATATCAAAAATAAGACTCGGAAGAATTTTTCTGTAGACTTTTAGCGTGAATATTATTTATTACAACACAGAGACGTTATAAATCACAGTAGGATATCATGTTAATATAAGAAACTTAAATTGTAGATAATTTAATTAAAAAATTGAAATGTGTATGTATATACAAGTGTATACATTGCAAAAAATTTAACGGAAATGATCACTTAGTACAAATTTTACATGCAACAGATCCACTTCAACGATTTTTATGCTTTCAATTGCACACACAATATATATAAAATATCTTCCCCCGTTAAACTATAGAATAATTTTTACGAGAAATTACCGTAGGACCTGACCATCCACGGATTTACCAACTGTGACGACCTCACCATTCGCGGATCACCAACTACAACTCCAGTCAGTAGAGACTTCGTTTTCAAAACTTTTATTAAATTAAAATATTCCTTTCAAAATATATTTCAAAGGAGTAAACAAAAAATCATCGACCTAACATAAGCCTTTGATAAATAATTTAAATGATTAATCAATCAGATCCTTAGGGAAAAGCTCAAATAAACAAAAAATAAGTTTCGTTTATGGACTACTGAAATAGTTTAAACTCATTTTTGTACAGTTGGTTTCATATGTAAATTCAATATATTTTTTTGGCTTCAATACAGTTGGGATGCGACTCCCATGGGCTTTTGGCTATAGTAAAAAGTAGGCATGCCTAGCTGTTTCGTTATTATCCGCAGATTTCACCAACGATAGGACCTTATTTACACGAGTAAAGATGTCTTCCAGTATATCTATTTATCTCAGTTAAACATTCAAGTTGGAAACGTTTATTAGGAAAAATTTAATCCGAATCTTCTGTCGCGTGAGACAGTATTATAACAACATAGAAATTGCAAGAGACTCTAATTTTTATAAATGGAATGGAAATTAAAAGAAATTAAATACTTTGGGATTAGGAATCATCTTTAACGAAATTGAAAAAGGGGATTTAATCAAAATTTTTTTTTTTTTAAATATATGTACTTTTTGGCTATATAATTGCATTTCCAGTGTGCTTTGCATATGCAATCAGATGTATTTCTGGGTCATTTCCCTTAGTGAGCAATACTGTTTATATCTTTTTTCTGTTTTTTGGTTCTGTCTAAACATCTCACCAACCTCCTTTTTTTCTTTAGTATGCGCATGCCCAGAGACGCAGAAGCAAAAAAAAAAAAAAAAAACGATAAAGACAGGGAGACAGATTGATTGAAATGAACACGGCGAAGTTAGATCTGCATTTAGAAAAGAGCTGCATTTATACATACATAAACCTGAATAATAAATTCAACTGCTAAAATATTTTTGTTAACTTGATGTAAGCACATCTGTACTGTCCTTACCACGACTTCATTCAATCTATTGACCATACCACATTCATCTCATACAAATGCATCCATAGTGACACGTAAGCAAGCTAATTAATTTTCACTCTGAATATAATATATATATATATATATATATATATATATATATATATATATATATATATAATAGCTGACCACACGAGTTATTCGAGGATACCCGTCTAATAGGGCGGCTAGCTAATCCCTAATTGAGAGGCTATCTCAGGCACATCTGTGTTTATTCAACACCCACAGAGCCCACCTGTGGTTTATACTGCAACTATGCTGAGCAGACCTTAGTTACAGTTTCTGGGAGAGAGTGTATCTAGCGTGATCAACAATTTGAACAAGGCCTGCATACTCAAACCCTCGGTCATGATGACTTGTGACTTCGTGCTAGTACACCTATTGACGGTCCCCAAAGTATTTCCGTCTACCCAGTTTCA